ATGCATTGCATGCAGGGTTAGAAGGAAAGCAGGGGACAGCCAGCCTTGGGGGACATGGTGGGTCAGTGTCAGCAGCAGAGCTACCCAGGGAGCTCGCAGGCAACAGCAAGCCAAGAACAGCTACTCCAGGGCAGGCAGACGGCTGCTTGCATAGGGCAATCCAGTCCCAGTTTGCTGGGATTCCCCCAAGTCCTCAGCAGGTGCCATCTCTGGGAATTCTGGATGTTGTCCTGCTCTCCATGTCCATCAGGGAAGTTCCATCTGCAGGGGAAGGGAGGGTGCTCGGGGGTCTCAGCGCAAAGGGCAGTTTCCACTGAAGGTGCTGCTTCAGAGACACCAATCTGAACCTGTTGTGCAGCCAAACACCTTCATAACCATGGCCAGCTCACATCTCGCATCTAGAAAGAGTCACAGCCAGGTCTGCCCTCTCTTAGTTTCCCATTGACATCATGAGGTGATGTCCACTCTCCTCTGACGACCACCCCAGCAAGGAAAGATCCAAGCTGCGAGACCCATGCAGGCAAGGGAACAACAGCACTGTGGTGAGAGCAAAACCATCACAGCCCTTTTCTGGGGACAGATGTACCCACAGGTTCTGAAGTCAGGACACTCCAGAAGAGTGGAAGCATCCTCCTCGAAGCAGGATGCTTAGGTCCTTCCCTGCATTGTCTGGTGAAGGCAGCAGGTCCTGCCCAAGCTCTCACACAGCTCCAGCTGCAAGCCATGCTCTGCAAGCCAGCGAGGGGTGTGCTGGGAGGCGTGGTGGGTGGACAGCGAAAGGCACAGGCAGAAGCCAAGGCTAAAAACACAGAGTTGATGTCTCTGGGGCAGGGCCACTGCAAATCTACCCCAGCCCAGGAGCCTCATGCTTCTGATTGCTGGTAGGAGGCAGAGACCTGGCAACATTCATCACACAGGTGGAGAAACCCGGCCTTCACCACCATCACAGTGCGTCAGGGAAAGGAGGAGCCTTTCTGGGTCTGAGCCCTGCAGGCTCTGCCAGGCTGCCCGTATGCTGCCACATCCTGGGGATTCTGCAGGACTGCTCCCAAGGTGGGAGACAGTCCAGAAACAAACTGGGAGAGCTGGATCTCCATTTCCCACCCAATGCTTTGCCGTTCTCATGTCATCACGCTGGGAAGTCTGCACCGTCATCCCTCCGTCGCAGGGCACGGACAGAGGCTGCCCAGCCCCGCTTCAGATTGGCTTCACAGAGGGGTTTAAACCAGGCAGGGCTTCGCCTGCAGGGAAGGGGTTTTTAGCATCCACCAATTGCTAGGGCCAAATTCCAGGTCAACTCTGCCCTGGATGGACAGTGGCCTTGAAGATGATGACGGAAATGAGCAGATCCAACAGGTCATGCCCTGCTGATGGTCCTGCCCCACACAGAGCATGCTGGTGCCACTGAGTTGTGGATGTGTGGGAGCGTCTCCTGTCCTCTCTGTGTAGTTATTTTGAGGAAAGGGTCCTCAGTTTTTGCAGACAAGAGGCTGAGGATTAGAGGGAGAGGTCCCAGGAGTCCCACTGTCCCAGGTTTCCCCACCACCACCATCAAGGACAACAGAGGAGTGTCCAGCCACCTGCAAGCACCATCCCAGAGCAAAGGATTAAATTTACCAGGACCCACCTCATCCTGCCTCTCCCAGAAATTTGCTGCAGGGCAGGCACCCTGTTCCTTATGGCTGCATCACCAGACAGTGTTGGGGCGATCAGAGGAACACCACCAAGCCAGCCTGTCCCCCCCTCTCCTGCCACTCCAACTCTCCCAAGCACAGACAAATCAAGCAGAATGGGCAGTTGGGAGAGCTGGACTGGGAAGGCAAAGCCACGGGCTATAAGAATGTCACATCATCCTGAGACTGGAGCCAGCGCCAGTGGGCATCATACTCCAGGTGCAGTTTGCTGTTGAGTTTGCAGTTCTCAAAGTCAGCCTCAGCTTTCCGAGCCTTCCCACCCAGATTCCCCTTCCCCAGCCTCTCTCCAGCCCCTGATGGTGATTTGGTGTCTCTGCCTGGTTCCAGGGAGGGGGGCTGCTGGCCCAAGTACCCGTTGGCCACCTGGGGCTCCTTAGCAAACCGGTGATCCGGGGGCAACCCAGGAGGGGAGAGGTCCACGTGGGGCCACTCGTGCTCGGCTTTGCCCTTCTCTTGCTTTGCAAGACCCCTCTCGGGGTCGATCCTGACCCAATCCTGCTCCGCCCTGGCCAGGGCTCTGCCCGATGTGGACGCAGCAGCAGTTTCAGCAGCGTTTTGGGAATACTCATCCATGTCATCGGCCAAGGTGTCCAGGTAGCTGCCGACGGAGATGCTGTCCAGCCTGTCATTGGGGTCCTGCAGGCTGTCCCAGCTGCCCCGCCGCGAGGCCTCCTGGCTCTCCACCAGGCTGTACTGGCTGCTGGCCAGGCTGCTGCAGCGGCTGGTCAGGGTGCTCCGCTCCTCCAGCAGCCACTTCACCGCCTCGATGCCCTCATTCACCACCACCAGCTGCTGCAGGATCTTCACGTCCACGGCTCGCAGGTAGGCCTGGAGGGGAGATAGAGAGCATGGGGGTTTTGAAGGGACCAAGGTGACCCCAGTGGCCAAGGGCCCCAAGTCCCAACCCACCCTGGCAGAGGTGTCACCGCAGCGGCCACAGGTCTCCTGAGCTGCTTGATGAAGAGCCCAGTATGGGAGAACACCCTGCAGGGAACCACAACCCCCATCCCAGGGGATCCTGTCCAAGACCTGGGGACACAACCATCAGAAACCAGCTACTTATGATTCCCACCAGCCACCAACCCCCTCAGGGAAATAAATCCAGGGCATCTATGTCACTATCTCCTATGGGAACAGGGAGTAAGCAAGGAACTGGAGGTACTGGGCGCAGATCTGATCTCAGGGCATCCCCCAAGCCCTGGGAGGCTGCTGTCAGGGCAAAAGGATCAAGCATGGATCAGGGCAAGGGTCTGGCTGGACCATCAGCACCTCCCCAGGCTGGTCCCTTCATGCTGGTACTTCTCTCCTTCCAGGGTCTGAACCAAGCCTGGTGACAAAGTTACATGGCAAGATTTGGAGACCCAAATCACTCCCAAAACGGGAGGACGAAGAGGACAGGCATTGCTGATCACAGCACTTGCCTTGCCGGCTCCTGCCCCTCCGAGCGTGGGGAAGCTCTTTGCAAACTTCATTTGCTGAAGAAACATCTGTTTTCCTAACGGAAAGCCCTGTGTGCCAAGACATTCCTGTCTGTATGATACTGGCCGCCAAAAGCCACTGGATTTCCCCTGCGCGGGACGCAAATATTTTGCCAGGAAAGGGAATAAGGAGACGACGGGGGGGAAGAGAGAAAAACCCACTGCAAGGCAGGTACAAGCAGCCTGGGAGCTGTGGATGCCCACGGACTCCTTCACAAACACATCCTGTCCCCAGCATCAGCAAGCTGAGACAGAAATCCAAGCCATCCCCTGGGATCACGTTTAAGCACAGTGCTTGGTCCCCAGCATCCGGTACCCTTGGAGTCACTCGCCCGCCCACGGGTGACCTGACAGTCTCTCGAGACCCCTGTCTCCGGTCCCACAGCAAGAGCAGCAACAAAAGCATCCAAGGAAGGAGCCTGGGAAAACTCCAGCCAGGATTTCGGCACGTGACACCTCTCACTCCAGACAACACAAAAAGAGGGTCAAAGACTTGTAAAAGACCTGACACTAAGCCCCCATCCCTCCCCCACGCCCCTCAAGCTGAATTTAAATAAAAAGTAGAAGCGATGTGCCCGGATTGGGGCAGGAGCCAGCTTCCAAGTGCAGAAATTTCCTTTCTAGGCAAGTTATTTAAAAAACTGCCTACAATGGACTTTTCTGCACGCACTGCTAAAGCATCTGGCCTTGGCAGGGAGACGACGTGGGAGGAGGAGGCTGGGAACCCCTGATGGGGGGGTTCCCCATCTTTCTCTGCCTCGTGCAGAACTGCAGCTGTCAGAGGTGTCAGGGGAGCCACCCCAAAAGCAGAGGGTGGAATAACACTCCCAGCTTTCCATACTGTTTGCTGGAAGGAGTTGGCCCCCCAGTTTGCTGCTAGTTCAGCACAGCCCGACCCCCGCATTGCACTCCAAGAAACCCCCTCTCAGCAAGTCAAGGTTATCGTAGGAGGAGACCTAGCACAGGCTGCTCTCTATACTCCTCCAGATGCACTGAAGGAGTTCACTGCACTGACCTCCCATCAAGGGCAGCTGTCCAGGGGATTGTCACACTCCTCCTCACACTCTCTAGGGGCAGATATGGTCCTGATTCCCTCCTCAGCACTTAGGAAACCTGCAGGCACCTTCTCCCTTCAATACATCTAGCCCTAGGGATAAATTATCCTCCTCAGACCAGGAGGCAAGAGTGGGAATTTGCTGAATTCTCCTCCCACCGCCCACTTCCAGGCTAGCTTATCCTCTAAGCATTGTGTTTGCTGGTCTCTGCTGCTCGGGGGAGAGGGGGGGGGGAATTTTGCTTCCTGTTCACTGGGATGGGGACATGAGGGGAACCCTGTGCTGGGTTTTGGCACCTGGGTGCCATTCCAAGCTGCTGACCTGGGTGTCAGGTATCCCCACCTCTTCCCCAGCCGTTGAGATGAGCCAGGGCAGAGCAAGGAAAAGCCTTTCTGAGCTGAGGTGAATAATGCCCGGCCAAAGCCAGGCCTTGCTGGCCATGGGCTGAGCCTGCTTGCACCGGGGCAGGGCGGACACCACTCTGCCCTCCTCTTCCTCCTCCTCCTCTGAACAACCCAGGTCCCGAAGACCTTTCTCCTCCGGTCAGGGTGCAGCCTGGAAGGCGGTGCGGAGGGAGGATGAAAGTGGAGGGAGGATGAAAGCTCCTGCACCGGCGAAGTGGAGGTGCAGGCTGGGTGGTGCTCCAGCCCCGCGAGGGGCAGGCAGGGACGCGGGCGTATTTAGCCTGTTTCCCTATGGAAACGACGCTCATTCCCACCCGCTCGGCATGTTCATGCGTGGGAGAGTCCCTCCCCCCAGCTGCACTTGAACCCATTGCCCAATCTCGCCACGTTTCCCGGAGGCGCAGGCATCGCCCGTATTTGCTCCGTCCACGAGAGAGGGAGGCAAGGAAGGCACTCCCACGGTCCCCGGGAAAGGCTCCCACCGGAGCCCAACCCTTTACGAGCCACCCGAGAAGCCCCAGCAGGAACCGGACCCCGGGAAAGCTCCCAGCCATGCCTCTGCCTTGTCACACAGGGGGTCACACCTGGGGGAGAGAAAATCCGCCACCATGCCCTTGGCGAAGGTCCCTGCCCTAAATCCCGACCCCGGGACACCGCGGGAGCACAAGCCGGGGGTGCGCGGGGTGAGGGGGCAGGACGGAGGTGGGCGGAGGTGTCCGCGAGAGCCCGGCGGGGGATGCTGAGTGAGCCGGAGGGCAGAGAAAGGCCGGAGAAGGGGTCTGAGCTGGGGGCTGTCAACCTGCAAAAGAGCAAGGGCGGAGGGAGGGTTCCCCAAAACGCCGGCAGAGCGCAGCGCGCTATCAGGGGGCTGTCACCGGAGTCGGCAAGCCGCTACCCGGGGTGGGGACGATGCGGCGACCCCAGAGTGGGACGGCCAGTCCCCGGGGGTGGCCCCGGTACCGCGGGACTCACCAGCTCGAGGCGGAGCGTCCGCAGGCGTTCGGCGAGCGGCGAGCGCTCGCCGCGGGCCGGCGCGGGCGGCGCGGGCGGCGCGGGGGCGGTGTCGGCGCGCAGCCCCCGCAGCAGCACGGCGGGCGGGCGCCGTCCCACCTTGCCCGCCAGGTCCCGCAGGTCGGCGGGCAGCGCCTCCCCGCCGCCCTCCATGCGCGGGTGGGGCGGCGGCGGCCGCGCTGTCACCGCGGCCCGCGCGCGGCCACGCCCCGCCCGCCGGGGCCACGCCCATTGCCACGCCCCCTCCCCGGGCCACGCCCTCTCCGCCCGCGCAACCACCGAGGGGCCGCCGGGGCGGGCAGAGCGGCGCGCGGGGGCGGGGCTAACGCGGGACACGCCCCCCGCGGTGTCGCTGCGGCGCCGGAAGCGGCGCGGAGGGTGCGCGGGGCGGCGGCGCCCCTGCGACCGGACCGGACCGGCCCAGCCAAACCCGGCCCAGCCCAGCCCAGTCCGGCCCAGCCCTGCCCGGCCCCGCCTCAGCCTCCCCGCGCGGACCGTGAGTAGCGCGGCCGGCACACACACACATACACACACACGCTGCGGCCCCCCCGGGCTCTCCTTGTCGCCTTCCCGGCTCTCCCTCCCCGCCCAAAGCTCCTCGGTGCCCTTCGCTACCCCCCTCCCCTCAGAGCCTCTGGGCCCCCGCCCCGGGTGGCTGCGGTGTCTCCAGCTCGTCGCTGCTGCTCCTGGGGGACGCTGTGCTCCGGCCGGGTCTCTGACTCCCCCGGGGTTCTGCATCCCGCCCGGGCCCGGCTGCTCCCCGCAGGGCTTGGCCTCCCCTGGGCACGGCCCCTCTGCCCCAGGGTGCTGGGGCTCCAGCAGGGCATTCCTGGCGCTGCTCCCCGCGCCCGGGCTGTGCGTGGGGAGGGTGCGTCTCTGCACAGGCACATGCGACCAGTGGCGGCCCCTCCATCGCACCTGCGGGTCCGGGGCCTGTCGCCAGCTCCTGCCTTTGGGCAGCTTTTTTTTCCCGGAGCATGGAAGTGGGCCCACGGCACTGCAGCAGCCTCCAAGTTGGCCTGGAGCAGGGGCCGTCACCGGCACACGGGTTCAGGGGCTTCCCATCGCCCTGCTCATAGTCTTGGCCTCCTGCATGGCTCCCGGTGGGAGTGCTGGCAGGCAGGGAGGCTCCCAGGGGCTTTTAGTCAGTGCTGTTCATGGGCACTGTCTGTGCCAGGCGCTGCCTTTGCCAGGGAGGGGGTTTGAAAGTGCTCCCCTCCTTCACCCTGCACCCGTCCCACCCTGGCAGGGAGCCCCGATGGACACGGGAGTGGAGCAGCACACATCCTGACCCCTGCCCCCGTGCCAGCCCCCGGGACCATGGAGGAGTGGAAGCCCAACCCCGCCGTGAAGCCCCACAAGAAGCGGAGCTGGTACCTGGCCTGGAAGTACAAGCTGATGAACCAGCGCGCGCTGCGGAAGCTGTGCCAGGTGAGTCACCCGCAGCCCTGTGGGGGATTAGGAGGGATAATCCACGGGATTTACGAATTTATGGAGCAGCTCCATGGCTGGAAGTGGGTCTGCTGGCAGTGTGGGTGACCTGACATGCTGGGGAAGCGTAGCTTGCTCCCCAGCTTGCTCCCTCCAGTGCCTTTGTGTGGAAGGGCCTGCCGTGTCTGGCACCTCCTTTCAGCTGCAAAGGGACCTGTTGAGTGGCTATGGGAGGAGACACAATTATCCAGGTGGCCTTGGGAGTCTTTCACCTAGAAACCTGGCTGATTCCTCCCCTCCTGGCTCTGGACCCAGTGCTGCAGGGCTCAGCCTGTAGAGGGAAACCATTCTTGCCTGTTTGGTTTGCAAACCAAGCCGGGCGTAGGGCATGACAGGTGGACAGAGAAAATAGGGCTTTGTAACAGGATCTCATGCCCCAGAGGCAGCTGGCGTCTGGGAAAGCTGCAGGCTTGGTTGCTTGTGCTAATCCTTGGCAGAGACAGCGTCCTAGAGGGTGTCTGGGGGTGTAAGGAAGGGTTTGGCCCCATGGCAGCAAACAGCAGAAAAGGTGCCTTTCCTGAGAGAAGCTCATAAAATCTGGCAGTTGGTTGCTGTGGGAGGGAGCAGGGGAGGGTTTTGCATGTGCCTGGGAGGATGAAGGCTGGGGAAGGAGATTGCTCAGTTCTGTGTCTGATGGGATGTTCAAGGCTTGGGAATGGGTCTGGTCATTCAGGCAGATTTTGCTCACTATGCTGGGGCAACGGGCTAGAGCCTGCCTGCTGTCATCTCTGTCCTTTGTGGCACTGCTGTGGCTTAAAAAACAAATGAAAATTGGGCTTAGAATAGGTGAACCCAGGGATTTGGGTATGGAGCAGCCAGGTCTGCAGCATCTGAGTCTCCATCAGCAGCTCTGACTGGGTCAGCCTTGCTAGACCAGGCTGCTGGTCTTGCTTAGTGTTGACTTATTCCCTCTGGTCACTGGGGTGCTCCCTCACATCTCCAGCACTGAGCAGGGTGAAGATCTGGGCAGGTTGGGAAGGTGGCCTTCCTGCCTCGCTGCGAGCCCACGGCTCTGTTCTTGCCTAATTAAAAGCTTTCTGTGCACAGATCCCAAAAGGTGCTCATGCTCCTGAGTCAACAGCCAATTAACAAGCCAGAATGCCATAGTGACATTTATATCATCGTGTTGGGTTATTGCTGGTTTTCCATTTTCCCCATTTGCTCCTTGAACCTGTTTGGCTGCTTGGCAGTGAGAGCAGCAACATGTAGTTTTGAGGCAGTAGCTGGACAGACAGGGCAGGAATCCTTTTAGTGCCTCTCACCAAGGGCAGGCCTGTGTGTGATCCCAACCCCACACCAGACTGCAGAGAATCAAGGGTCCTAGAGCTGAAAAAGCACAAATTTCTAGGAAGAAAGCTGTTGTGGGGCTGAGGGGCAAGGGAAGAGTCTCAAAACCACCCAAAACCTGACTGAGCACCCCTTGCCAGGGGACCAAGTTATGAGCAGCCTCCACCAACTACTCCCCTCCTCTCTCTTGGTTGCTGTGACATCTCCACGCTGAGCCTTGGGATGCTCCAGGGAGGTTGGTAGGACCCTGAGCTTGCATGGCTGAAACTGGAAACCACCTGGTACATCCAAAGCAGGGCTGGGCCAAGGGGCAGAGCTTTTGGGCCATGGGGTGAATCTGTCAGCAACACATATCAGTCACATTTGGGCCTCTGTAGGGGCTCCCTTGTGAGCTGGACAGACCCTTGTGGCATGGAGGCTGTTGGTGGAGCCCTGCAGCAGTGTTGACTTTGGGGGTAACAGCTGCTCAGGACTTTGTGTCTTTAATCCAATGGCAAAGCCTTCCCTCGCTTCTTGACTGTCCAGGACAGCTTTTGGGCTCCCTGCTGGAGCTGTTCCCCAGCTCTAGGGCAAACTGTAGCTACTGGTCAGGGCCTTTGTCCCCATGCAGAGCCCTGTGGCCACCATGTGCTACTGTCACCTTTCCACCACAGAGCAGCACCTGGGCCCTGGGTTACAAAGCTCCCTGGCTCAAGTAAAGACAAATTGTTTCAGCTGAGGTCTGACCTTTCAGTCCTGCATCCCAGCCCAGCATTGCAGCTATAAGACCATCCTCTTGGCTGTGGCCAGACCTGCTCTTGCAGAAGGTAGATTATTTCCCAGCGTGAGATGTTTGTGGTCCAGGTATTCCTGTGTGGCTCCGTCTCAACAGGGTCCCTGTTAGGGTGGAGCAGTTTCTGCTTTACACTGGGTCCAAATACCAGGAAAAAGGCTGACATTGAGGAAGAGAGGAGCAAGATGCATTTAAGTAAAAACAGGTGCTTGTAGAAGTGGTGTAGTCTTTTGCACCTCCTCTTGGTCTGGGAACAACAAGGCCATGGGCAATGGTGATGGTCACAACAGGGGTTCTTATGAACTGTTCCACAGCCCCTGGACTTTCCCACAGCCCTCTGTGTCAGCAACCACGTGGGTTGCATTGAAGTTTGCTGCAGATAGTAAAGCTGTGGGCTGTTCTCTGCAGCCTGTGGTACAGTGCTCTTTCCTGAAAGCAGACCTCAGCTTCTTCCCTTTGGTTGTTTTAGCTGCACAGCATCTCCTCTCCTCTGAATACCTGGAGTGCATCCTCTCGTTGCAGGGGGACAGATGAGAGTAGTGATGCTGCAGGAGAGGCAGAAGTTAAGGTTATCCTGGGAGTTGTATCTCTGAATTACCAAACTCTTTGCCTGCAGGGGTCCTCAAACTTGATGTAATATTTTAACAGGAATCTGCTCACAGATCTGGAAGCAGGGATATGTTGTAAGTGGGTTAATTCTCACATAACTAGAAGGTAGTGCTCTCCAGCTGATGAATGCCTTTCACCATAAAACTCGGTCACCTGTATTTTTCTCTCTTTGCCTTCCCCAGAAGAAAACAGGGGAATTGACAGATGCTTGTGATCCCTTGCAACATCTCCTTGGGGTGCCCTGCAGCCCCTGCCAAAGTGGGTTGTTACTTACAAATTGCTAACACAAAGCATCCTGCATTGCAGACAGGTGCTGTCCTCTTCCTGCTTGTGACTGTGATTGTGAACATCAAGCTGATCTTGGATACCAGGAGAGCTGCTTATGAGGAGGAAGAGGAGTCTGCACAGGACTACGGTGAGCGACAGCATCCTGTTGTGCTTTGGAAGCAAGGAAACTGGAGGGAGGGAAGTAATTTCTTTAAGTCAGGGCTAATTTGTGGCCAGCTACAACACAAAAGACAGGTCTGTGCATGTGGGTTTAACAAAAATTAATAGAAAACTTTGTCTCTGTTACTGGTCTGTCTACTTAAGGCTTTGGCACGTTTGGCTGTAGGGATCTGTGTGGGGATAGACCTGTTGCCATTTTGTGTTTTCCCAGTGCCTGGCATCCCTCCCATGGCTACTTGGGCTGGGATGCCTGGTGGGCATGACCTTCTGGAGGCCTGGCTGGGCTGAGCAGGGGCAACACTGGTTGAAACTGGGCATTTCTCCGCTGTAGATGATGAGATGCTGAATGTGGAGGTCCCCAGGCACCCTGTCAACAACAAGAAGGTCCTGGATGTCGAGGTGTATTCCAGCCGGTCCAAGGTCTACGTGGCTGTGGATGGGACAACGGTAAGGGACGGGAGTGCTGTCCCTGTGTGCAGAGGGTGGACAGAGCTGAACAGGTGAAGCTGCAAACAGCAGTGGTGAGAGCAGCTCAGTGGCAAGGAAGTTAGGAGTGGATCCCCCTCCTGCCTCTGGGACTCCAGGATTATTCTCCTGTGTTGGTTTCTGCTCTGGCACCCACCACTGCCATGGGCAAAGCCAAAACATCACAGGAGAGAGACTTGACCCTTGTTTGGGGGCTCTGCTGTGCCGAATGGGCAGGCAATAAGAAGAGGTCTTGGCATATGATTCTCATCACTTAATCCACTTGCAGGTCCTGGAAGATGAGGCTCGGGAGCAGGGAAGAGGGATCCACGTCATCGTCTTAAATCAGGCCACGGTAAAGCATCCCCACGTGTCTGCATTTGTCTTTCTGACTGGGCAGTTTGTCCTTGCTCTTGATGTTGGGTGCCTGAGGAGGGAAGTCCCTGAATGGTTTTTGTCTGTCGTTTGCAGAGCGTGACACGGTCACCCAGAGTGTCCCTGCGGGGTTTCCCTTGTGCTGCCTGCTGTCCCTGGGGAGCGGGCAGGGGAGGAGTTGTGAGGTTGGGTGATGCTGTCCCAAAGGCCTGAGGGTTGAGCTTGACTGGGGATTAACTCCTTGGCATACCGGAAAAGCCACTCCTTGTGTTGCTCAAGGAATGAGGCTTCCAGGGCAGATTTCCATAATTCTGTGTGTCGGTACCATGTGGTATTTAAGGTGCATCTGATGTTTAAATACCAATAGGGTCATGTGATGGCCAAGAGGGTCTTTGACACCTACTCTCCCCATGAAGATGAAGCCATGGTACTTTTCCTCAACATGGTTGCCCGGGGCCGAATCCTGATCTTCACCATTAAGGTATGTGACCCTCATGTCAAAAGGAAAAGTCATCTTGAGTCAGGGTGCCCTGAAGCTCATCTGGGCAGTAGCCTTCTGAATGTCACCAGGCATTCCCAGTGCTAAATGTCACATCCCTGCAGGGCTGCGACTCCCTGGCTGGATCACCTCCCTTGCCCTCTTGCCCTCCCTTGTTGCTGCAGCTACTGCTGTGTGTCCTGCAAAGCAGGAGGGCAAAAAGCAGATGTGTCAGAGCCTGCAGCAATAAGCAAGGGGTTAGGTGGAGAACGGACATGAGGAAATACCAGGATGTGGTGGGATCCTTTTGTCTCCCAGTTCCAGGCTTTACAGAGGTCTTGTGGGCTGTGCTGGCTCTGGGCTGCTGTGTGACAGCACTGTGCTGCTTCAGGGTTCCAGGTTTAGCTGTGTGAAGTGTTGCTTAACACAAGGTCCTGCTTGAGAACATTTTGGTCTCAAGGAAACAGGAGTCCATGACTCCTCTGACCTCCCTGTGGGTCATGATGAAGCCACCAGCAGCTTTAGTGGCACAGAGACGTTGAAGGTTTCAGGATCAACTGGTTGAAGGGTAGGAGTGGGCCTTCTACTTCTTTGTTATTGATGGAAGACTTTCCTTGTCAGGAGCCACAGCTCAGCAGCAGGGTTGTGTTTTTTTGCAGGATGAAGGCTCCTTTCACCTCAAGGACACAGCCAAGAGTGTCCTGAAAAGCCTGGGGAGCCAAGTTGCGCCATTCCTGAGCTGGAGAGACATGTGGACATTTGTGGGGAAGAAGGGAGGTGAGTCTTGCACAGGCTGGGAGAGGGTTTGTGGCTCCTTTTTTTGGGAGAAGCCAGGCGAAGACAAACCCAGCCTGTCCCCAGCAAACTGTATGAGCAGGGAACAAGTCACAGAGAGTGGCAGCTCCATTCCTGGGGGTTGGGAGAGTATGGAAGTGTTCCTTCAGCCGTTTGCCAGAGGCCAATGGGAAAAGGTGCCAAGCTGCCACCCAGCCTCTGGTCATGCTTTGATGGGCCCTTCCAGACAGTCCTGACCCTGTGTCCCTGCTCCAGGGGAAGTGTACGGGGAGAAGCACGCCAAGTCACCTGCCCTCTCAACGTGGGGTGACCCCGTACTGCTGAAGACAGAAGTTCACCTGACATCCGTGGAAGGTAGGAAGTGCAGTCTGCTCTGTGGTATCTCTGGGAGATGTCTGCCTGCTGCCTGGTTTTAAGTCAAAGCCGTGGGTCTGTTAGCAAAATCCCAGGATGGATTTAAGGCTGTTTGAGATGTTGGTGGTAACTTTAAAAATGGACACAGCTTCCCTTCTGCCTGCCTTCCTGGCAATTCCATCTGTGATTGTTGAGAAGGGTGAGGACGGAGAAGTGGGAATGTGGTCTGGACATTTGTCACCTGTCCAAACCAGACCTGGTCTGGTCTTTTCTGACTGTTGGCCTTGAACAGCCCATTGCTGCTCAGAGAGGCCATAGGTGGGGTTGGGCTCTGAATGGCTCCTGTGGTTGTATCCAACATCCAGAAGTGTTGATTGTTCCTGGTACCAAGGACTGGCTCGGTGGGGGCTGAGCCCAGGGACAGCCCTGTGTGTGGTAGTGCAGCCTGGAGCACACAAGGTGAGGCCCTGGGGATGACAGGTCTGTGTTTGCTCCTCGGTGCCTCCAGATGCTGAGTGCCATTGGCCCGACACGGAGCTGAACCGGCGCCGGAAGAGGTTCTGCAGCAAAGTAGAAGGTTATGGCAGCGTCTGCAGCTGCAAAGACCCCACACCCATCGAGTTCAACCCTGATCCCGTGAGTACCGGGGCAGAGTGTTCAGGGAAAGCTCCGTGAGGGAGGGCTGGGCCAGACCAGGCGTGTTTTGCAGCTCAGGTGCAGAGCCCTGCTCTTAAGCACCAGCTGAGTATTCCAAACTGCCCTTGGGCAAGCCCAGAGCCTTGGCAAAGGTAAAGTGGATACATGGGGGCAGGTGATACTGGGAAAAGGGAGTTCCCTTGCCCTGAGCCCCCAGCTTACGCTGACTCTGGGGACATCAGTGTAAGCAGCAGAGTTTGTACCTTTGGAGATGGAGCAACTATTGTGGCCTTTGGGCTGTCCTTGGCCCAGTGCTGAAGGGTTCAGACAAAGGTCTCTGAGTGGATGCAGACTCTGATTTGGGAGCTGGGGCAGAGGTGGGGTGAAGGAGAGAAGCTGGCAGGATCTCCAGCAGTGCTGAGTGGTGTCCTGGTTGGTTGGTGTGGTCCTGCACTAAAGGATAGGACTATGCAGCTCTGCTGTTTTAGCAGCAGGTCCCTACCCCTTGGAACCTGCCCTCAGTGCCATAAAATCATAGCATCGTTTTGGTTGGCATAGCCTCTCCCACCCACTCACACACATTGTTCTCTTCCAGCTCAAAGACAATAAAGTCTTTGATGTGCCTGTAGCTGTTATTGCAGGGAACCGCCCCAACTACCTGTACAGGTAAGCACTTCCAGGGGGCTCCTCTGCTCTGCACTACAAGACCAGGCATGGCCCAGGCCCTTCCCTTTCTCCTGCTGGCAGGATCCAGCCGCCTCCTGGGGTTGCATGAGCAGCATGGGCCAACCTGCTTGGGCAGTTCCCTGGGTCCTTGGCCATGGGAAGGTAAAGAGCCCAAGGGCAATAGGTCCTGCTCCCTAATCATGCACACTTTCCCCCATCCCAAGGGATCCATACCCCTCTGCTGAAGGGCCTGTGCCCACCGGGGGTGTGCTGCTCTCAGGCCCCTCCCTCTCTCCCCAGGATGCTGCGTTCCTTGCTGTCGGCTCAGGGCGTCAATCCACAGATGATCACGGTCTTCATCGATGGCTACTATGAGGTAAGAGCATTCCCAGAGATCCATGTAGCCAGCTCCATGGTCCCCCAGCTAAGAGTATGAGGTTCTGGCCCAGTCCTTGGTGGGTGGCAGGTTATGAGCCCCGTCACCCTTCCTGCTGCTGTGTGTCACACTGCTCCTCACCCGCTCTTAGCAAAGTCAGCTTAGCCAAGCCATGCCTGTGGATAAAGCTGCCTTGGCCTTGCCCAGAGCCCAGAGTTGATGTCTTCATGTCAGAAAGGGGTTGCTGTGCAGGAATGAGGTGAGGTGGTCATGCTGGGCTCTCCCCGTCCTCTTTTCTCAGTTGATGAGCATTGTCAGCCCCTTGGGCAGGGTCTGGGTGTAACACCACCTGTCCAGCTCCCTCGTGTGAAGAGGAACAAACCAGTCCAACCATGCCTGTCCAGCTCCACTCTCAGAAGTGAAGAGGCCCAAAACAGTGTGTTTTCACAAGGCCCAAAGCTGGGGGCTCATGAAAGCTGGGGCTAGGTGGAGGAGAACTGGCCCTTTAGAGGGAAAGACCTTCCTCTCAACTCAACCTTATAAAGCCCTGGAGAATCCTACTGCAAGTCTTGGCTCTCTTGCAGTGAAATGAAGTCTGGGACAGGCATGTAGGGTCTTAGTAGGTCTCAGGAGCTTGCTAGGCCTCCTCTCTGCAACATCTGGTGAGTTACTGCCTGGTTGCCTTGTGATGGAGACAGGGAAGGGAACAGGCTTGTTCCCTTACAGGCCTCTCCCACCACTGCCAGGTTGTGGGGCTGGGGGAGCTGGTTTGTTTATGCAGACTCTTGCTGTACCACATCAGAGTGGTTAAAGATAGAAGCATCTATTGCCATGGCAACTGGAGCAGCATCCCTCAGCTACGTGGGGGCAGCCTGGATGCTCATGCTGCCATGGTGGATACCAGGGAAAGGGGGTTGGTACTGATTGGTACAATGGGAGTTCCTCTCTTTTGTGGCTTGGAGGTGGGATGCACAGTAAGGGGATGGAGAAGGCCTTGGTGGGTCCTTCTTGGGGCAGAGATATGTCAACCCAAATATGAGTTACTTCTGGCCCCAGTGCAGATGTGCTTGGTCAGAAAGGTTTTTTCTTGGCAACTGTGAGAGAAAATTGAGTTGATAGTGGTCTTGCCATTAAGCAGCTACTAGGTCTTCCTGGCTATACCTGTTTTCTTTCTGCACTGTCCATGGGGGGACTGGGAATTTGGTATTCTTGGATACAACTTTGGGTCTGCAGACTATCTGGGGTAACAGAAACACATGACGATACCCAAGAGTTGCAGGGCCAGGAGGGTTTGGTGAGTTCTGTGCTGCAGGGTCTACAGCACAGCATCATTTTGAGCCTCACTTGCCCCAAGAAGACAGCCATGTGCAAGGATATTCTTGTCCTGGGGACCTGACACTGGCAGAGGGTGGGGAGAATGACCCACATGTTTGATGAGCTTTGTACTTTCCCATTGCAGGAGCCAATGGATGTCGTGGAGCTGTTTGGCCTCTCAGGAATACAGCACACTCCCATCAGCATTAAAAATGCTAGAGTTTCCCAGGTGAGAGAGCTTTTTCCAAATCCTGGGACAGTTATTTCCAGGGACCTGGGATAGCATTTGAGGAGGCAGGCTTAGGCCCAGATCTGTGCCAGGCTGATGCTAACACAGGCAATGGATGTCTTTTCTTGTAGCACTACAAAGCCAGCCTGACTGCAACCTTCAACCTGTTCCCGGTGAGTGTGACTGCTACAGTGCAGGCTGTCCCTGGCATCTGTGATCCCCTCTCATGGGAGCTGGAATCAGTCCTCAGGGGCAGGGAACAGCACAGGCAGGGGACACTGTCTATATCTGCTCTGTCCTGTTTGTCTCCATCCTTCTGACATTCTCCTTGCCCTACAGGAAGCTAAATTTGCTGTGGTTCTGGAGGAAGATCTTGACATTTCCGTTGACTTCTTCAGGTAAAGTTGTGGGTTTCTGTGTGGGCAGACCATTTCCTGGAGCTCTCTGGCTGCTCAGGAGAGGCCAGATCTCTGCCATGCTGTAGCTCACTTATCTGAGGCTGAGCAGTCCCCAGGCAACAGCCTAACTGAGCTCTGCCCATAGAGTCTTGAGTCCACTGTCCTGGCACTCAGTGCAGAGTGACTTCAGGGTCAGGGATCTCTTCCTGGTTTGCTTTTTGGGGACACTGATCCTTTCTGTGCATACATTGTTGGGGCTGCCCCATAGCAAGAGGACAGGGGCAGTGTCTAACAGGGCTCCTGTTTTTCCCTAAGGAGGAGAGACTGAGCAGGAGACAATGTTGTCCCCTCCCCATGAGGAGATGCAGCTTAGCTTGTTTTCAGGTGTTCCTCCCCACCAGTTGGGATAAGTAGTCCCAGCAGTTGGGGGTGGCTCATCCCTTGGTGGAGAGTTTGCCTTGTTTTACATGGTAGAAGGATGTTTGACTAGGGACTGTGCAACTCTTTCCTCAGCTTTCTGAGCCAATCAATACACCTTCTGGAGGAGGATGAGAGCCTGTACTGCATCTCAGCATGGAATGACCAGGTGAGTCAGGGAAGGATGATGGAACAGGGCCACCTGTGCCCTGTGTTGTTCCCATGTCAGTCTGGGGCCCCGGTTCCATCTTTAAAGCAGGGCATCCTAAGTGGGTCTGTCTCCCCAGCCCTGGACTCTTGAAAAGTGCCCCTGCAAATCACCATCCTGTCCCTGCCATGTGCTTCCCACTGGCTGGTCCCTTCTTCTCTGTCTCCACTGAGGTTCTCAGTGGAGCACAATATCTCCCTTTTTGGTGGGGTAGGGGCACATTCAGGGTGCTGAACAATGTCCATAACATTGCAGGGCTATGAGCACACAGCTGAGGACCCCTCACTCCTGTATCGTGTGGAGACCATGCCAGGCCTGGGATGGGTGCTCCGGAAAAGCCTGTACAAGGATGAGCTGGAGCCAAAGTGGCCAACCCCTGAGAAGGTGAGTACTCTAAGGGACCCTGACTTCTGCACCCCATCTCTGCCCATCAGCAGGCCCTGACCTTCACCCAGTCCCTGTGTGCACAGCTCTTGGAGGGGCTATCCTTGTGCTTGAACTGGGAAGGATGCCCAAGCAGAATGGATTTGGGACATTCTGGGTGCTCATAACCAGCCACAGAGCTGGCTGGAGCAGCCCAGAGAGGCGGGGGCCAAAGGGGCTGGACTTGGTGTGGGCACCCAGAAAGCTCCCTGCATGGCCATACTACCTAATCATGTCCCCAAACTTGAGTGTGAGTGGCAGTTTCCCCTCCCCAGCTCTGGGACTGGGACATGTGGATGCGGATGCCCGAGCAGCGGAAGGGCCGGGAGTGCATCATCCCCGACATCTCACGCTCCTACCACTTCGGCATCGTGGGGCTCAACATGAACGGCTACTTCCACGTGAGTGACCTCCTGCGGTCCCCAAGCCCTGTCCTGGTGCTGATGTCTGACTCAGACACCTTCCCAGGTAGTGGGGATGCTTGAGGTCATCCCCAAGTACTGCCCACTCGCGATCAAACGCGGTTTTCCTTCCCTCCCTTCTCTCTTCCTCCCAGGAAGCCTATTTCAAGAAGCACAAGTTCAACACAGTTCCAAATGTCCAGCTTAAAAATGTGGAGAGGTGAGTGCTGGTCAGAATGAATGAGATCTTGATGAAACAGTTGCTTGACCTGACCCTTGTCTCCTTGTGCTGGACTTGTCTCCCTTCCTTCTGGAACAGCTGTAACCTCCTGCATCAGCACACTGGCCTCTGCTGGGGAATCCTGGCACTGGTTTATGCAAGGTTGGGTTTGGCTTCCCTGTGCTTCAGGTGGATATGTTGAAGGGTCATGTTTTTGCTGCCACATCGCCAGGATGTGTGGCAGTCACAGCTCTGCATTTGTTAGTTCCAACCTACCTTTAGTATTACACTGGGGCAGTCTTGAATTTGGATCATTTTGGGTGTTCCCTGCTTATCAAAGTGCCTGACTCTGCCCTGATCTCTGTGCTCTCTCCTCCTCCCACAGCTTGAGGAAGGATGCCTATGAGACTGAAATTCATCGGCTCCTGGGGTAAGTGCCTACAGGAAGGTCAGGAGGCCACAGGGCACAGTGGGTGAACCAACCAGGACAGGAGGAAGGGTGGAGGTGGCCCTGGTAGCCCTGGTGCCTGTCTGAAGTACTCTGCTGTGGGAATAGGGAGGAGGTGGGGTCCCCTCTCACTCCCTGTTCTGTTTCCACAGTGAGGCTGAGGTCTTGGACCACAGCAAGAATCCCTGCGAGGACTCCTTTGTGCCCGACACGGAGGGCAAGGTCTACGTCATGTTCATCAGGATGGAGCAGGAAGCAGATTTCACCACCTGGACTCAGCTTGCCAAGGTGAGGCCCCTGACATGGCCTGTCCTCAGGCCTGCACTGATCTCTGCATCGCTGGGAAACACCTGGCTGTCATTCTTGGGTTTGCCCATGGCATCGATGCAGCTCAGCAAGTGGGTTCTTGCTGTCCCTGGGTGATGTTAAAGCTCTTGGTGTGGCTGGAGGGGGGTGCTGCCCTCTCTGCACTGTCTTGGTGAGGGCAGGGGTGGTGGCTTTTCCCATGCCAGGGGACGCCTGGCCCTGGTGTCTGTCCCCAGGCTCTGATTCCTCTTCCTCCCACCCCACCATCCTAGTGCCTCCACATCTGGGACCTGGATGTCCGTGGGAACCACAAGGGGCTGTGGCGGCTCTTCCGCAAGAAGAACCACTTCCTTGTGGTGGGGGTCCCTGCCTCCCCCTACTCGTGAGTATCAGGGACACAGCAATTTGAGTAATCCCCCATCTTCATGGCACTGTCCCCTGCCTGGCACACTGTATCATCCAATCCTGTCCCAGCCCAATCCTGGCGGGACATCACCCCCCTTCCTTAGTCTGTGTGGTGGGAGGGGGGACAGGATACATTCCCAGGGCTTGAGGATGTCCCTGTGGGTAGGAGATCATGCCAGGCAGTGCTGTTGGGAATTGGGGTCCTGAGGGGAGACCACCACCCCTGCCTGCTCCCATCCAGCTCCCTCACCTGCAGGTCCAAGAAACCCTCATCAGTGACTCCAATCTACATGGAGCCCCCTGCCAAGGAGGAGGGGGCAGTGGCAGTGCCAGCGGTTGCAGCAGCAGAACAGACCTGAGACTGGCAGCTGGAAGTGAAGGGGACTGGGGGAAGACAGAGACCCCCACGGTGCAGAGCCAGAGTTGGCAGCAGCTCTCGGAGGCTGGTGACTGGATACGGACTCCTGTTTTGGGCTGCAAAATGAGATCTTGGGCTCCCTCCAGCCCCCTGTTGTGGTCTCCCTCTCCCTTGCACAGGACAGGGTCGTTCCCTGTAGATACGTCACCCCCATCCCAGGAACTTTCGTTTTTTAACACAGACGCTTTACTAACGCTGCTCCTTTTGCCCCCTGGCTGGGCAAGGCTGGAGGAAGGAGATGCTCAACTGGAGCCTAGAGGGGGCCTCAAGAAACACCTCTGCTCCCCTTTTTGGCCCCAAAGTGCTGAGAAGGCGGAATGGTGCAAGTGCTGCAGCCTGCCAGCTGGGTGGTATTTATTAACTCTTGCCTGGCTGGCTCTGTGTGCCCCATGGTGATCACGGTGGTGAAGAGGGGATGTTCCAGCATCTCTTCTGTTACCTGCATGATGGATGCACCTTGAAGACTGTATGCAGGGTTGGACATCTTCCTGCACACTGGCTTTGTTTCGTGGGCTGCAGGTACTGGTACAGCCCAGCTCACGGTCAAAAGGGAATGCTGAAGAGGAGCTGGACCTGGTGCAGACACGTCGGGGACACCCTGTACCCAGCACGAGGGCTGTCAGTTCTGGAAGCTGGAGATGACTGTAGATGGAAGGGGATCAGACTGTGCTGCAGCTCAGACCATCCTCACCCACCTTCTCTGTGGGGAGCAGCCCTGCCCTCCGAATCGTGGGAGAGGGGGTGAAAGTGCCTTGCAGAGCGAGATGGGAGCAGCCACTGGCCGTGCCCCTGGCTCCAGGGGCAGGATGGGCCAGGGTCCTCTGGAGTGAGGGATGCTGCACTATGACATGGACCTTGCCTGTGGTACTGTACCCTGTCTCTCCCTCTTCCCTGCCCAGCTATCTCCTGCTTCTGCTGAAGGCAGAGGGAGTTCCTTCTGAATCCCCACCCTAACTGTGGTACGTTGCTAGCAGGGAAGTTGTGAGCTGATCTAGGATGGGCAGCCTGGCTGTCCTGCTGTGGTACACCCCTCATGCAGAGGGAGAGGGAGGAGGTTCCTGTCCCCCCTTCCCTGCCTTAGGAAGAACCCCAGGGTCCCCTCCTGTTCCCAGACACTCGGTACTAATGCCCCCCTTGCACCTGGGGGGGCAGTCCTGCTCCCCTTGCTCAGTACACCTCCCTGTCTCATCCATGCAGCAAGAGGTTGCTGCTCAGCCCTTTCCCTGAGGTCACAGGGGCTCTTCCCCTTCATTTTTTCACTGTGAACTGAGCATTGGGGTCTACATACACTACACACTAACTTATTTATTTATTGCTTCTGGGAAGGGGGTGGCTAACAGGAAAGCAACATGGAGAGCTGGCAGCCCCCAGCCTGTGCAGGAGCAGTCGTGGAAGGTTTGTCTCTTGTCCCCCTGGCTCCATTCTCTGTTCCCTGCTTTCCTCCCTTGCCCACAATAGGAAAAGTTGCAAACCAGGGAAATCTCTTTGGCCAAGGTGGTCCCAGTGCAGCTCTAGTGTGACTGCAGGGACTCTGACCCTTCTGGTCCTTGCATGCCTGCCCTGGCAGCAGGAACGGGTTGCTTGCAGGAGGGGAACAAGAGCGTGCAGCACCAGGCTGAGGTTCACTCTGCCCTCCCCAACACAGGGACTCCAGTCTGGCAGCCAGTGGGCAGGTGACCCCTGTGCTGACCTTCAGGGTAAAAGGTCTTTTCAGAGTGATGGAAAAGGGACTTGGCTTCTTTTTGGGGAACGTAGCTCGCTCCCCATGCCCTGCTTTGGAAAAACTTCCATGGCTCACTATTACCCTTTCCTTAGCATCCCAAGGCCTAGTTTCTCTTCCCCCTCAAAATAAAGGAACCCCCTTTCCCTTCTCTAGCAGGGGCTCAGGCTTGGCTTCCTCCCAGCTCTTCTAGGGGCTGGGGAGGGTGGTCCTTAGGGTAGAGAATGGCTAAACACAAGTTCCCCTCTCCTCTGGTGCCAACCCTGCAGTGACCAGGGGGCTGTGGGTCCCTGCTGTCAGCGACAGCAGGACTTGACTGGTGGGCATCATCTCCCTTCTCTGCACACCTCGCTGGGCCTGCTGGGTGCTGTTCCATTCCTCCCCATTCCCCCAGCAAGGCTCCGGGGTGGCAGCCATGGCAGGGCTGGGTGTGTGGCATCACCAGGGGTTGCCGCTTTCTGAATCAAATTATTTTTTCAGGAGTAAACGTTGCAAAGCTGTTGAGCCTCGTGTGTTCCATTGCCTGGCCTCATGTGTGGGCTGGAAAGGACAGACTCCTGTCCCCTGTGCAGTGCAGGCCTGGCCATGGGCTAACGGTGGCCCTGGGCCTGTGCCAGCAGAGGTCCTCCGTGCAGTGCCATGTGGTGCCAGTGCGACTGGCACAGGTTTATGAGCTGTTCCCTCCTCAAGCTTTATCACTTTAATCTTCATTATGGAAACTCTGACGAGCTGCCTGGCGACTGCTTGGCGTGACCAGCCCCCTTGTTTCCCTCAACACCTCTAGCTACTGATCTCCTGAGAACTATGACTCATCACCCTCGTGGCCATTCCACATTTCTGCTCCCATGGGGCAGGTAGCCTTGGGAGGACTGGGGATGTACCCATTTTTGGGGCAGAGACTACAGGACCCAAATGAAATGGCAGTGGGAGAGTGTTAGCCAGCAGCATGGACTGACTGCAACCTGCTTCCCAGACCGGCTGCCTCCTGCTCCCCTGCCTGATCCCTGCAGCCAGGCTGGGCTGCCACCCCTTCCTCAGGACCAGGCACAGCTTTCGGGTGGGGGCACAGCCCTTGCCAGAAGTTTTTTGCCTGGCCCCAGGGGCTTGGCTTGGTGATGCTGGAGGGTCTCTCACCTCCTGGCAGCGTCCCCCTCTGCCTCCTGCCGAAACCCTTTGGTGCTGAGCTGCTGCCAGGGCACACAGGCAAGGGGAGGATCAAGCTGCTGGGTCTGCCCTAGGACAGAGCCCTGCAGAGTGATGGGGGCTCAGGTCTGACACCCACCATATCGTGCCCACCTCGAGGAGCCAGTGTGTGCAAACTGCTGTGTTCATAGGGGCCTCCCATCCTGAACTGGAGTCTTGGTGCTAGAAACAGGTTAACCCCTTTGAAGGGGGAGTGCCTGTGCCAGGCTGATGGAGAGCCTCAGCTCATCACCCCCAGGTGATGGTGATGCCAAGGCTCATTGCCCAGGGGGCTCAGTCCCTGAGAGCTTGTTAGATGAGCCGGGTCACTGCCCATTATGTCTGCTTTTTGGGGTCTCACTCCCTTCCTAGCACAGCCTGCTGGTGCTGGAGTGTGCCTGGCTGGCCAGGAGCTGTCTGGGGGACTGGCCTGTCACCTGCCCTCTCTGAGAAGCCTGACCCCTGGTTCTCACAGCTCAGCCCTCTGAGCTTTAGCTCATGCTGTCCGAGCTGTGGTTCCCAGGTCTCACCCAGCCCCCTACAGCCCCCCCAGCCCAGCCTCCCTGGCTTTGTGCAGCCCTACAAAGGAGAACCTGTCTGGGCTGCTCCACGTCCCAGGAGCTGGCTGATAATTAAACAAAAGCAAAATAGCTTTGGCATGAAACTTGACCTTTCCAGAGCTTGTGGGGGGTGGGGAGTTTTGCATAATTTCTGGTGGTGTTTATTTTTATGCATTATGGGTTTTTGCCAGACATCTCTCTGCTGTGGGAGCAGGGAATCCCTGTGTTCCGATGATGGGCTGGTAGGTGGGAGACAAGCTCCAGGCTGACTCTTCCCATGGCACAACAGTCCCTCTGTGCAACACAGATAGAAGGAAACACCCTCCAGCCACTCTTCCAGGATAACAGATCCACAGGATCTCTAGGATGGAGAGATCTCAGCACTAGAGGGATGGTGGGTGTGCTGACCCCATCCCCTTCCCTGCGTAGGAGGGAGTCAGTGATGCTATGCCCAAGCCACTTGCATCCCAGCTCAGGGAACTGATCCTAAATTTTCAGCACCCTCTGCTTCATAAAAAGTCCTGCAATGCCAAGGTGCCCAAACTGCTCCCAGGAAAGGGCTCTGCTTGGCTTCTTCCCTTGATCCCAGCTGGGTGGGGGTGGTCCTTCTGCTGCACCCAGCCCATCCCTGTCCCTGTTCCCTGCTGTGCCTCCCGACACAGGACTGCCACCTCCTGTGCCCACGCCCAAGGCTGGCAGTGAATTAATCTTCAACTGGGTACCCAGAGTTGTTGCCGTGATGGTTATTGTCCCATGATGGTTATTGTCCCATGTCCTGCCCAGCACAGAATTAATGATTAACACCCCAGGTTCAATGTCAGCTCCTGCCTGCTGCCTTTTGAACAGCCCTTCCATCGCCTCCTCTGATACCCTCACAAATAATCAGGGCAGGGAGCTGCCTAGAAAGCACACTTGGGGTTGGGTCAGCACCCGGGGTTGGTTTATCTCTGAGGCATGGAGGAAGAAGAGGAGAAGGGGACCCAGGGAGTAAGGCTATGTCAGGAAAAGTGTGCATTGCGTCACTTCTTCCCCTGGGCCAGTCCATGCCCTTCGAGGATGTCCTCTCCTCCCTAATCCGGGAACATCCTGGCCAGGCTGTTATGCAGGCGGGGGAAATTCCCCACAGAGGGCACTCCTTGGGTAGCTGGTGCCAGATAAGTTTGCTTTTGCTTCTTAATTTACTTCTTTTATCAACACAAACACAGAGAGGTGCAATTCCTCCTTCCTCTCACGTACCTGTCCCCATTAATGCTAATTCCCAGGAAGGAGGGGGTGAGGGGGTGGCTCCTTCCTGAATCACTGAGTGCTGACCACTGCCTATCCCCTGCCAGCACAGATCCCTGTGCCACCCAGGGTTTGGCACATGCCAGTGGAGAATTCACCCTACAAATCTCCTGGGACTTTGGGCCGTGTGTGGCACCCAACATGGCAGGGCAACGGGTGCACAGGCACCCCATGGGGCTTCTGGGGTGTGAAAGGCAGCTCTTCTGCCTTCCCCATATGGCCAGGGGGGACAACCTAAGGACCAGGGAGCACCAGCTGGTGCGTGGTGGGGGACAGCAGTGACCAGGCTTTGGCAGGCACAGGGCACTGACTGCTTGCCCAGCATCCCTGCAGGGGGACTTTACCCTCCTGCCCTCTCTCACCCTGTGTTGCAGGTGGAAAAGAAGAGCCCCCACTCTGGCACACACCCAGATACACCAGCTGTTTGGGCATCTCCTGACATCTTCCGAGAGGCAATAAGGAAGTTCATGTTTGCTACCAGGTGTCCTTGAGGACCTTTGGAACTCGTGCTTCCATGGCACAACTGTCAGCTTCTGGGGTGCTGCCAGGCACCTCGGGGCGCCAGTCAGGGAGAACCAGACAAGTCTAAGGGGTGCAGGGTACAGGGTGCAGAGATGCCTGGTGGCACCCACATGGGTTGGTGGACTGGGATGTGTCCTGGAGCTGGTGATGGGATGGGATCTCCTCTGGAGAGCCCAAAAGCCCCAGTGGTGCTTGTGCAGGGGAAAGTAGAGAGCAGGGGCAGAGTGGGGGCACAGGGGAGGCTGTGCCAGTCTGGCTTACCCTCCACTGCTGAACTTTCAGCTGCCAGGGCAGCCAAGAGCCGCGAAGGGCAGCTGGGAGGAATCATATCCGGGAGGAGAAACTGGTCCTTCGAGTTTTCCCAGCAGGTGGAGGGAAGGAACAAAGCCGGTGGTTGCAGGGTTATTGACAAAACTCAGTGCCACAGAAACAGCCCTGTCCTGCCCCACCGAAACCCCAGGGCCAGGAGGAGGTTGGAAGACAAAAGCCATCAGCTGGTCAGACATCACCCCCAAACCTGCTCCACCCCACGGGGGTGATGGTGGGAGGGTGTGTGCCAGGAGCTGGCTTTGCAAGGCAGCCCCACTAAGAGGGAGCAGAGGAGGACATGGCCAGGTGTGCCCAGAGGTGCCTAGCTTTGTACCAACCAGCTCCTGGGCACCACAACACCTCTGGGAAGGGCCTTGGGCAGTGCCAGGCTCCAGGCGGCTCCTACATCCATTGAGGGGGAAAAGAGGCATAAAAGCCCTGACATCACCCACGAGGTGACAACAGTTTATGGTGGAATTGGAGCATTCACCTGTCCAGGAAGGATAAGGCTATTTTCTGGCAGCTTTCCCCCACACCTTGCTGTGGGGCAGGGCCAAAAGCCATGTCCCCAGGGCTGAGTCACTCAGGGTGGGGAAGCAGGTGCCTGTGCCCATCCCACTGCCACCAGCGTGCTGGACGGTGCCAGGGAGATGCCAGACCCCAATGGGCCACGGCAGTGCCTTGGTGCAGCCCTGTACCCAGTGCAGGAGCTGATAAGGGGGTGCCATGGCAGGCACAGAGCAAGGCAGTGCAGGGGGAGGCTGTTTGCACACTGCTAATCACCCCGTCCTTCAGCACCACCCTCCCCCAGTCCCTGTGCTCTGCCCCACAACCAGGGAGCCTTATGTCAAAAATAGGGTGAAGCAGCCCTTGGGAACACCCACCCCCCTAAACCACCCACCCTGGCCTCACTTCTGAAATGGGGCAACCGAGGCAGAGAAGGAGTAATTCTGGGGAAAGAGGGTGGCTGGAAATGCCCCCAGCCCACCCAAGACCCCCCACCACCCCCACACACAGACAGTATGGGACAATGCCAGGGATGGAGATGCTCAGAGATGGGGCTGGCAGGATCCATCCCTCTTCACCATCCCATTTCAGGTTCCTGGGGCTGATGGGGACACAGGAACACCCCAGCCAGCCCTGCCTTTCAAGCCAAGCTGTTGCTCAGTCCATGAACGGCTGCTCTGAGCAAGCAGCGGCTGTTGCAGAGGGAGGGTGGGTGTAGTGCTGGTGGTGGCCCCCACCACTGCCCATCTGTTGTGCAAACACTGGGCTGCTTGTTTCCAAGCACCTGAGCAGAGAAGGAGCTCCAGGCAAGGAGGGCAGGCAGCCTGAGGGCAGGGCTGTGCTGCCTGCAAGGACCTGGAAGGAAATGTGGGGGGGACTCAAGGCAGCTCCCACCCCTGTACCCTCACGAACAGAGGCAGCACCAAGATCAACTCCAGAAAATAACTTTTTTAATCCAAGATGAAAAATTTATTTGCATTTCCTTACAGCATGGAGAGGGGCTCACCCATGAGATGACAGAAGGCACACAGGGGGCAGGCCCAGCCTCTGTAGGGCCAGGGACCACCAGGGCTGTCTTCATGCCAGGGCAGGGGCAGAGACCAGCCAGCCCCTCTTTCAAGGGACAACACAGCAACAGGG